CCTAGGTACAAAATAGAATAAATGAGTTGTGGTTCACACAAACTTGTACTCAAGTATAATGTGCATGTTTGCATCTACACACACAGCCATGCCCAAAAAGCTGCCTAGAGTGCCTGTCAAAAGATCCGTAATGCAATTAGTTTCCCTATAATGTGGTTTCAGGACCGTTTACATAACTATTGGGTTGGATCCCAAGCAGAGTTCCTTCCATGTACCTTGGGGTGGGATGCACAACTTTTGCAGACCTCCCCTTGTGCTGTTCTTGAGGGTCCTCCAACCCACAAGACTGCAGAGGCAGTTTTTCTGGTAGCAGAAGGAGCCTCGACAGGTGAGAAGGCAGGAAAAACCTGTTCTGCAAGTTCTTGCAGGGGTTTTTTGTATACACCTATTGTGTTTAAAGATGAATCATTGCCCAACTCTTCCAGAATTTAATGGAGCATTAATGATACAAAGCTTGTTGTACTATACGGCACATAGCGTTTATTTCCCTTCCTCTATGAAGTAGGTTACTAATCTTCCTAATGTATAATTCTATGCATACTTCCAGGCAAACAAATTGCATTGAACTTAACAGGAGTGTTTCAGAGTACGGGGGAAAGGGAGTACTTGACCCAAGAGCAACCAGCAGAGGTGCAAGGCAAATCCAAATCTCCCAGATAAAAGAGCTCATGTTATCCGCCACTGAACATGGTACTCACAGTGCTGCTAAGAATCCTTGCTCCAATAATGTAATTGGTAAATATTGTGGCATTAAAAATAAAGATTTTAAAGCTGCTTCCCACTGTTCTACCTGTTAACGAAGAGTGAATGCAGATGACCATTTGCCAAGTTTTAGCTTAATCACAATGCACGTATTAGTAACCCAGTCATCTGTGGCCCCTGCCACACGGCAGGGAAAACACGAGGCGAAGCGCGGCTAAAGAGAGCCGCATCAAAAAAGATACGCGCGGGCGGGATCCCATGGATCCCGTGCACCGCATGCCATTGCTCCCCGGCACAATCACATGCCGGGGAGGAAGAGTCGGAGGCAAGGGGGAGGCCAGGATGTGCCGCTGCAAGGACGCGCGGCCGATCCCATGGCCGGTTTGAGACGCTCCACTTCGCATGAACCACCCAGGTAGGTGGTTCTTTTTAGTGCGGGTTTTCACGGGGAAGAGACAGATCGGGACGGACAGGCAACGATTCCCAGATGTTGCTGTGGGATCGTGCCCGTTTGATCCGCCCCCCGTTCTGTCTTGCTCCCGGACCAAAACCCCTCATATGAACGGGGCCTGTATTGTTCTAGAAATCAGAAATCCAAGGAAGCATACAGTACCTATGTGCTGGGGGAATTCTTTTTCTGTAAAACAAGTCACTGTGGACTCCCGTTTGTTCTTGCAATAATTTTCTTTATTTATACCTCTTTTCTTCTCCCCAGTGGGGATTCAAAGTGGCTTAGGACGTTCTTCCCTCATCTATTTTATTCTAACAGCCCACTGGAATTACTACCAGAAAATTGTAATTTGCAAAAATAAAACAAATTGCAAAAATTAAGCACCCAACAAAATAAGTGTTTGGTGTTTGGTAAATCCCGTGCTTTCATAATCTTTACAATATATTCCATGCTAGACCACATTCCTAGGGCTGTTAATGAAAACACTTAAGTCATTTTAAAGCCAGATGTGCTGTCTGTCAAGTTCTACTTGTATTCCCCCCCCCCCAAAGATTTGATTCTGCTCTGTCTTGCTTTCTCTACTGCCACAATCACAATCATTCCAGACCCCCGCAGAAGCTCCCCCACCCCAAATTTTCCATAGCTGTAACAGGAAAGTAATGGAGCTGCGGTGGCTCAAGTGGTTAAGACGCTAAACTGCAGGCTGTGGAAGGCCGGTAGTTCAGCAGTTCGAGACCCAAGTGTGCTGCATGATGGAGTGAGCTCTCATCTCTAGTTCCATCTCCCGCCAAACTAGCAGTTCGAAAGCAAGAAATTGCAAGTAGATAAATAGGTACCACTTCACTGGGAAGATAACAGTATTCCATGTGCTTTGGTGTTTAGTCATGCCGGCCACATGACCACGGAAATGTCTTCGGACAGTGCTGGCTCTTCGGCTTGGAAACAGAGATGAGCACCGCAACCCTAGAGTCGGATTCGACTGGCTTTCGAGCAAGGGAACCTTTACCTTTAATAGGAAAGTCAAAACCTCTTCTGGGCCTAACCCCATAAACCTGACCAGAGTGAACGAAGCCACTGAAAAGTGCAGAGCAGGTATTACATATGAGTTTTACAGCCAGAGTTAATGCAGAAAACCACCTAAGAAACCTTCCCTCTTTTGGGAAGCACAGAACTACCGCTCGCTTTCTCAAGGATGGGCGCCTCTTCCGCGGCCTTCTGGGCACCGCGGAGACGTGACAGATTAAGCACAAAGGTTCCACTTCGTCTTTTTCACGGTCGTTAGTGAAGGAACTGCACTCGGTAGTTGCTTAGGGGCACTCATCAGTTTGCCTGCTGCGCCCATTAACCCCGGGTGCCTGAGGCCTTCAGGCGCCTTTATGGAGGCAGAGAGAGTCTTCCTAGGTGGGACTTACCGTCCCCCGCCGCCGCCTTCTCTGGCTCCTCCTGGAGGCGTTTTTGTATGCCGGGCGCGGGGCAACTCCGCCTCTTGAAGAGAGCTGAGGCGGGGCCGCTTTCCCTTTGCCGTTTCGTTTTCTCGCAGAGTTTCCCGCTGTCGCCTCGGCTCCTGGGAGCCCGTCTTCGCCGGCCATGGAGAACGGCGGCTCGGTCTACGAGTCCACGACCAGCCCCGCCGAGCAGTTGCCCCACAAAGGACTCCGCTACTGTGGCTGCACCGCCGCCCACCTGGGCCCCCTCCCCTGGCCCTGCTGCGCTTCCCTGGCGGGTCTCACCTATGGGGTGCCAGCCTCCAGGTGGGACCTGGGGATCCCCCGGAATTACAGCTCCTCTCCAGACTGCAGAGATCAGTTCCTCTAGAGAAAATGGATGTTCTGGAGGGTGGACTTGATGGCATTGCACCCCGCAGAGGCGCCTGTCTTTCCCCAGTCTCCATCCCCAAATCTCTGGGGGTTTCCCAACCTGGATCTGGCAGCCCTACCCCCACCATCCCCCGTGGGTGGCCAGAGGAGGGAACCTGAGTGGGAGGAGAGGGAGGAGTACGGGTCGCCCGCGGGCGCCTTTGGAGGGCGGAATGGACCCTTCAAGTTCCGGGTTGGGGCAGAATCAACAGTCGCGCCTCTCAGTCGCTGTTCTGTGCCTCGGAAAGCGAAAAGACCTTCCTTTGGTTGTGTGAAAGAGGGGGCCAGGGGCACTTCATCAGAGGTTATAAAACCAGAAGTGATTCCGGCATACTATGCCTTGGTATCCCCCTCGATGAACCACCTCTCCCCCGGCCCCGGGCTCTCTTGCTTATCGGCGGCTGCAAATGGTGCTTTTGTGCATCGCGAGTGCATGGCAAACTACGCGGGCCTCCTTAAGCTCCCTTCTTTCCATGTGCATGCGAGTTTGCATAGTAGAATAAGCACACAAGCAGGCGAACAGTGTGATCCCTTTGCATAGCAGATCCGGTTGCTGTGGTCTCTGTATCGCAGTAGATGTAGACGCATCTTTGAAACAGTCCTATCTGGGAACTCGCAGTAGGCTAGGTCTCCCGGATATGGGCCACATGCATGTTTAAAATCACGTGTTTATTGGCCTGGCGGAAACACAGGTATGCCAGTTTGCAGTTGGTTTGCCCAAGAGTGGGGTACCATCTTTGGCAAGGCATATTTTGGGGCGTTGCCCCACTACAAGCCTTTTTAAATTGTCAGGACGATGGATTTAAATTTGCCTTCAAAGGCCATGTCAGTTACTGAAGACGGGCTCCACCTGAAGCACTTTGCTTTCTTTCCCTCCCTGGGAAAAGTGTGTTTGGTCGGCACTTTGTCTGCTACTTTTATGCTTGGCGGTGAAAGTGAAATAATATTTTGCCGGAATTGGGCTAACTTTTTGTATGTTGTGCCTACTTGCACCGCCAGCCTCCCTGCCCTATTTTTAACAAATTGCGACTTATGTAATATTGCGAATTATTTGCTGGCCCATGCAAACTGGGTCCTGTCCTCTTCCTCCCTTCAGTAGCTGAAGGGGGAGATGATGGTTTCTAGTGGAAACAAGCCTCACTTGTCAACCGAGGTAATTTGGTTCAGCTGGAGCTGTGCTGACACTCTTCAAGTTTTGCCTTCAGTAAAGTGATTTTGAAATGCCTTGTGAATATACTTTTACCCTCTTACAAGCTGTGCAATTATTCCCCATGAAGGAGGATTTCCCAGTAAACTCACCGTTGATTTAGTAGCTGTGCAGGTTTTCCAGAATGGAAAAGCAGTGAATGTGATATGCTTTCATTGGTCCTATCTGAAGGTCTTATCTCCACATGGTTCCCAAGCTTAGCCTGAGGTGAAATTCTTGTCATCCAAAGCAAACAGAGTTCCTCATTAAGGAACCCTAGGCCTTCTTGCAATCAGATGGGGTAGAAAGATCATGATAACTGATGTTTTTCCCCTCCCTTTTAAACTTTGCTTCAAACCTATTTGCATTATTCTCATTTGGTACACAGAGAACATAGTTTGCATGCAAGAGTGCAACAATATCAGTGTACTACACCACAAGAGCAAAGCATATGAGCTGCTTTGTGGGGTACAACTACAGGCAGTGGTGTTAGGACCCATCCTGCTGATTCTCTCTAAAGTGGCTGGGAAGAACTCTAAAGCACAGCATAAATGGGAAGCTAATCCCCACCAGCCAAAGCTTTTACACCCACTTTTGTCTTAATTGTTCTCTAGGCAGGGAGGGGATTCCTACTTCCAACACTTTTGTGTAGTACATTCTCCTGCACCTGAAAGGCAGCTCAAAACCTCTGTAATCCAGGCATCTGGGATCTGTGTCAGGGCTTGTTTGCACAATTGCTGGAGCTGGTGGATGTTTACATTTGGCTTTTGACTTCATTGCTACAGGCAGACAGTTTGCAGGTGGCATGCAGGAAGGATTTGGGCTCATCTTAAGGCAAGGTGGGTGGCTTTCCCCACCCGGCTTGGTTTGTGGGTTTGTGCTGCCATGGGTTCAGAGGCTCCTGCAAACAGCCTTGCTGTTTATGTGTCAAGGGAGCAGGGTTAACAGCTTCACTGCTTGCTAATGTGTAGCCCTTGGCTTTCTACATTTTTTCCCCTCTCCTTCTTTTAAAAACTTATCCATGCTCTGGCAAATAAAACACTGCATTGGAAGCCTGTCCCAAAATCTCCCTTGTGCTCTGTCTCTTTTGCAGTGTACCCACTTAATCCTGCTCCAGATATTATCATGTTTCAGTTTTCTTCCCACCAGGTAAGAAGGCATGCCCTGCCCCGGATGGCCCAGGCTAGCCCGCTCTCGTCAGATCTCGGGAGCTAAGCAGGGTTGGCCCTGGCTAGTATTTGGATGGGAGACCTCCTTCCAGGGAATACCAGGGTTGTTGATGCAGAGGCAGGCAGTGGCAAACGCCTCTGAACATCTCTTGCTTCGAAAACCTCAGGGTGTCTCCATAAGTCAGCTGTGACATGATGACAAAAAAAAGCAGAAGAAGAAGAAGGCAAAGCTAGTGGCGGCATTCTGAGATCTCCAGCCCTAAGACTGGGCTGTGGCTCAGGAGCTATTGCACAATGCATGGCAATTCCCAGTGCTGATGCAGAGGTCTGCAGGGACTCTATCTGAGGCAGTGGGGTGTGTGATTCAACATCACACATAGGATGTGTACACTGTCCTGTGATGCCCCTCTTGCAGCCTCTCTTGACTTAGTGAGATTTAAATGCAACCACCATCCCTGCCCACAGCTTCCCGCTTGCAAGCTCTTTTACCCCCCTCACGCCAAGTTGCTTGCAGATTGACTGTTTGTAATATCTGCTGTCTGTGGGACCAAACAGGATTCCAGTCTGGGATCTTCAACTGAGGGAATTCCCTGTTAGCGCTGGTAAGCAGGTTTATTCAGCAGAGTGTTCACAGAGGTCCCAAGCAGATCCATGATAAAAAAGGCAATGGGTTCAGTGTTGCTTTAGAACAGTAACTCTTTATGAAACAGTAAAATGTCAAGAGTTCAGTAGAGAAAAACCCAGGAATTCTCCCTTTTCAGTTGAGTTTTCATCGAGTGTCAACCCTCTACAACGCTGTTTGCCATCTTAAACACCCTTGCCCCACATTTGAGAAGTTACCTGGAGCTTGGTCTACTTGGCACCTAGAAATCTGATGCCAGCAGTTAAGATTTTGCTGTGCTTATTTTGTCCTGTGCAAGGCTGATAAGCTGAATGTGCATATTGACTTGCAAAACAAATTGCTGGCAAGGAGTCTAAAATATTTTTCTGGCTTTGCTTAAGCCGACTTTATTTATAGGTAAACAGCATTGTCCTAACCCGAATAGGCCAAGCTAGCCTGATCTCATCAGATCTTGGAAGCTAAACAGGATTGGCCCTGGTCAGTGTTTGGATGGGAGGCCACCGGGGAAGTCCAGGGTTCCTATTACAGAGACAGGCAGCGGAAAGCCACCTCTGAACTTCTCTTGCTTTGAAAACCTATGGGGTCACCTTAAATTGGCTACAGCTTGACAGCAAAAAACCAACAACCAAAAAACAGCATTAATACATAAATTGCCTATGAACTATCAGATTAAGTTTACTAGTCTGGAATACACTTAAAATGACCTCAGAGTTATCATTTCCCACCTTCCTAGTTTCTGGTTAAGATACTGGTCATCATGCTGCTGCGTTCTGTATTTCCTATTCTTTCTTGGACTTCATATACAAGTGTTTACAACAGAAATTTGCAACACTGAGTTTCCGGTTTCGATGATTTGAATGGCAGGTGTGCTCCATCGGAGCTCCAATGGGGCAGCCCATGATGCGGCGGATGGGAGGGGGGCCAGTTGATCCAGACCCGACCCCCCCAGAGTCCTTGTAGGGGACTTCCAGCCTGGGGCGCGAGAGGTGCCTCTCTCGAGGCCGTGGCCAAGGGATTGAGGCTCCCCTTCGCCCCGATAGGTCCCGCCGTCGCGGTGCCATTATGGCTTCAAGAGGTGTACATTAGGCAAGCAAACAAGTGATCAAGCGAAACTACAACGTTTTCCCTACCTCTGCAGCCGGCATGGAATGAAGCGTGAGTGCTATTTCTCTTTAACTGGTTGCGGTTAAGCGTTCTTACAAAGCCGCAATCTGTAATGATGCATGGGGAGGGAGTCTGCCCCCCCACAACTTTAAAAAAACTATCTTAAGTGACAGAAGGGGCTAGAGGCAACAGCAATTCCAGATTGAATCAAGTAAAGTACAGATCTGTTTAAAGCGACTTCATAAATGAACTTTCAGTGACTTTTAAAAACTTTCTCTGAATTGTAAACAATGACTTCTCGGGCAGAAAAGATGGCGACGAGAACAAAGCACTCTCCCGGAACTGCGAGATCAGCACATCCGGTTGCTAAACCGGAAGTGAATACTGACCTTCCCAATATGCTGGCTACAGCACTGCGCCCTCTGTTGGATCAGATGACTAACCTCAACAGTAACTTTGAAGCACTCCAAAAACAGCTGAAAGAGACTAATATAAAAACAGAGGAGATGGCAAAAGCAGTGAAAAAGGTTGAAGCCAAGTTAAAAGCAATTCAACAGAGGCTGGAGTTAGTGGAGAAAGATAGGATCTCTGACAAAGACCAGCTTTTAAGACTCCAAATCAAAAAATCAACTTATGTTCTGAGATTTCAAGGTGTTCCTGAACAGAGAGGTGAGAATCTGAAGAAAATGTTAAGTGAAGCGTTGGCCCCAATGACAGGTTTAACAGCGGATTTACTACAAAGTGATATGGATATTATCTATCGGACATATCCAGAATTTATTAAGAAAAAAAACCTGCCTGGGGAAATAATGGTGAGATTCTCAAAGAGATCTACTAGAGACGTGGTGCTCAAGGCCACAAATGGAACAACTCTAAAAATCAAAGATGAAGAAATTAGTCTTAAAAGACATACCATTTGAAATAAGAAGGAAGAGAAAACAGTATAAAAACTTAGCTTTCTGCAGAAAAACTCCACACTGTACAAATGGATAATACCTGAGGGACTTGTCTTCAACTATAAAGATCAAGTGAAGGCGTTTTTGGAACAGCAACAAAGACCAGCGTACGACAAGAGAGCAACAGAGGAAGAAGACCTGGAAGAAGAAGGCAGCGCATATGGGTCGGAAAGTTCGGGAAGTATGGCGGGCAGTAATCCAGAAGAAGACTCCGAATCAGATAAAGAGGCGGTGGCCCCAAAACACCTGAAGGTCCAATGGAACTTTGATAAAAAGAAGCTCAGAGAAAAGAAGCCAAAATAATATAATCTTATAAACTTGAAAGTTAAATTGTTTAAACTGTAACTACCCGATTTAATCATATAAATACCAGTTTGTAAGGAAGCAATAAGAAATAACTCCATTCCATTAATTTTATTATAGGGGGAACTTTGCCTGAGCTAATGACCAATCATTTTGTATGATCCTTGTGAATCTTATATTTTAGTTTAGTGTTGTAGTGTCTGTAGTGTTGTTAGTGTTTGTAGCAAGAAAATAATAAAAAATCATAAAGAAATTTGCAACACTGATATTCCACTGAATATTCCTGGTAGGAATGTCCAAATACCACTTTCATTATTAGTAAGTATAAACTGATGGCTTGCAAGTAATTGTGAGAGCAGGAGGACCCTTTGGAAAATCCCACCTTTCAGATTCCTCCCCTCCAGGATTCTTCAAACTCTCAGATTTGAGCAGATTCTCTAAACTCTCTACCCACCGCACACCCTTTTCCCTTCCACTGACACGCAGGCTCTCTTAACATTCTGTCTCTTCTGGGGCATGTTTAGTCCTCATCAGGCTGTTTTTAAAGGGTCCCCCTCCCCCAGTTCTTGCCTGATTATCAAAGAAAAATTTTCTACACCTAGGGGAGCCCCCTGAGTACAGCCTTGCTGTTGTGTTGTGAGTGGCCCAGTTTTGTTGCTTTCATCATCTATCTGGTATCTGGCAGATCTCTTATGACCAAAGGTGCTTGTATACAAAGGCAATATGCCCAACTAGTTTTGTTACCATCTCTGTTACGCTGAGGAGTCTCAGCCTCATTTCCCTTAAGTTAGTTATGTAAACAGGTACAATCCCACGTGTCATTAGAGGTGACTTTCTGAGGCAATTAGAGTATGGGCATTTTTTCTCTCATATGAGAGCTTACAACGTAATAATGTGGCCAGTTGGTTGGAAGAGAAAGTACTCTTGTGAGACTTTCTTTTTCATCACTTTTGGGTGGCTGGAAAGTACACTATTACAGTAAATTAATGTACTAGAACCAAAACAGAAACACATTCTGATGCTGTCAGTGGTGTGGCCAAGGAAAGCATTTATAGCAATTTTCTTAGTACTATAAGAGAAGCCAGAGAGTTCTTGGCCTGAAATGAACAATATGTAGCAGCTCTGAATGTTAACGTTAATGTTATATCCTTCATATACAGTGTGTATCCTTCACAGAATTTCTCTTTACTGTGCTTGTGTGTTTTTTTCTGGTGCTTCACCGTTCCTTGTTTTTCATGCTGTTTAAACTCCATCTAATAGTGTCCCTCTGTCTGGTGGATGGATCCTGTGTTAACATGAATTGCAGAATTAATTCCAAATGGGTAGCTGTGTTAGTCTGTTGTGGCAAAATAAAACACTCAGTGTCACCTTAAACACTGGCAAAACATTTTAGTGCCACTGGACTCCTGCTTTATTAATTACAGTAGTCTTGTTCACAACTCGCAGTGAATGCTTGAACAATCCATATACATGCATTGAGTAATTCTCATGTTGTGTTCAGTGAATGTATAGCTGAATGTGCAATTTAGGCACCACATTTAAGTCCTGGTTTCGACTGTAAAGTGAAAGCATGCTGGGTGTTCCTTACAAACAGATGTACACATGTGCATGCAGGATGTATGTGTGTTCGCTGTAACGTGTGAACAGGGCTAGTGGGTTTAATCCTTGACTTCCCAAACAGCTGCTAGCATAAATATAAGCTAGGATGAGAAATTAGGTTTGTATTTAGCATGTAAACAGGAAGGAAATAACTTGTGGGATCTCAGTTGGAATACATTAAATCAGGGGTGTCAAACATAGGGCCCAGGGGCCAGATCAGGCCTGTCCAGGGCTCTTATGCGGCCCGCGAGCAACTGATGCAAGAGAGGGAGTGCTGGGGGGGAGTGGGCAGAGCCACTCCATTATAACTTTAGCACAGCAGAACAACCTTGCGTGCACCAGTCAAGCATTGTGGGAGCATCTGCCCTGCATGGCACTGCTGCCTCTCTGGTCTGCCTCTGTGGGTTTTCCTCTGCACCCCCCTCCCACCCCAGGGGGCCTTGCAGTGAGGACACACCAACTCGGAGCTTACCAGCTGGTGTCCTTTATACAGTTTCTGTCTCTGGTACCTGGCATTGCGTTTTATGGCACACATGGCCTGGCCCAACAAAGAGACACTTATGTCAGATCCAGCCCTTGTAACAAATGAGTTTGACACACCTGCATTAAATTGTCCTGCTAAGGAAATCAGTTACCAAGAAACTGGTGAGGTTACTTTTAAGAGGAGAAGTAAAAGCTTAATGGGGAATGAATCCACTTGTGAATTTTTGTAGCTTCTTCACTCTTTCTTCCACCCAGTACTTGAATGGCTTGATGTCTGAAATTTGTCCTGATGAGAAATGCAAGTGATTATGTATCTTTTCCCAGAACAAGACTGCTAATGTTTGAACTATAAACTGAGCCAGCATCTATCTTTGACCCAGCAGCCAACCTGTTTGGTTGCAATAACTGCTGTTTGGTTGCAATAACTGCTGTGTTGTGCATGTATGCAGGCATAAGAATAACAAAACCGCAAAAAGATGCATTTTGCGGGTTGGTCACTCTTTTAAAAGAAGTGTTAAAGTGGGAATACTTCACTCTGCCTTGTCCACAGTACCGAAGTAGAGAGGACTAGTTTTATGCATTGTGCATGGAGTTCTGGCCAGGTGGCAGTAAGGAGAGTACAATTGTTATGTGTCTGTGTTGGCCGTTGTTTGCCGTTTATATGTTCCACAGCTCTCTGTCTCATATATATTGGAAACAGAGTAAAATGAAAGAACAGATCTTCCAGTAAGAGAGAAGAACAGGTGGGGAGAAAGAAAAAACAAAATGCCTTTGATTCAATATTGATGATTATAAAGCAGGGCCTCTGGTGCCTTTTTAAAAATGTTGATAGTTCAAAAACTTTTGCTTCTATAAGACATGTTATTCCATGGTTAAGAGGGATTAGAAGTAACACCACCTTTTTATCTGGTAGTAATCAAGTGTTGGTTAACAAAGTACTTTCTGTGTACCACTTTGATTTTAGGTATTGCTGATAACATCTGTGAGGTCTGGTTGTTGCATGGGCTCATGCTTGCTTGGATCAAGGTGCTAGGATTTGAGCACTGAAGTATACAAAATGCAGCCAAACTTCTGGCTAGCCATCTGTGCATTCCACTGGTTTGCTTCAGCTCACAGTTCGCAGGGAGGCTCGGTAATGCTGTCTGTTCAAAGACTGAGACTCCATCTTTTCAGCAGCTTGCTCCCAAGGCAGCTAATATATTCAGAAATAGTGGCCCAGTCTTCTTGCCAATCTGGCTGCTCTAATAACATAATTGCACAACCAATTAAATATCTGCTGACATGAGGAAGCCGGTCCACTTGCACAATGGCCTTTTGATTGTCACTAATTTTAAGTCTTTTGTCACCTTAACATGCAAGAAATGAGAGGCTTGTATTCTAAGAAGAAATAGATCAGTTGCTAGTAAGCATTGCCTAGGAGCGCTGGTTGTTTGGGAGAATCTGTTGCTAGTGCATTCTGTCGCTAGTAAGTGCAGGACAAGCTCATTTTGGTGCCAGTTTGAAGGGCTTGAGACATTTATCAGATTCCTGTTTGTGTGCATCATTGAAATCCATTAGATCCGACACACACTGGCGCTTCAACAGTCTGTGTATCCCTTTCATGGTAAAAATACAAAGCCAGTGGCTGTCCCATCTTCATACATTAGGTTTTTGATGAGCTTATATTGTCATATGGAAAATCTTTGAGAAACTGGCTTCTGGGAGCAAATGGGGGCGGGGATACTGAAAATCTGCGGCATCTCAGCAGTAGCAGCACATATCTGGAAATGTTGTTGTTGTTCAGTCACACAGTCGAGTCTGACTCTTCATGAACCCATGGACCACATCACGCCAGGCCCTCTTATCATCCGTCATGCTCCGGAGTTTGCTTAATTTCATGTTCGTTGCATCGATAACACCGCCTAACCATTTCATCCTTCTTCTTTGACCTTCAATCTTTCCCAGCATCAGGGTCTTCTCCAGTGAGTGCTCCCTTCTCATTTGGTGGCCAAAGTATTTGAGCTTCAGCTTCAGTATCTGGCCTTCCAGGGAACAGTCAGGGTTGATTTCTTTTAGGATTGACTGATTTGATCTCCTTGCAGTCCAGGGGACTCTCAAGAGTCTTCTCCAGCACCATATTTCAAAAGAATCTATTCTTCGGTGCTCGGCCTTCCTTAGAGTCCAACTCTCGCAGCCATACAGTACTACTGGGAATACCATTGCTTTGACCATCTGGAAATACATGTGTGTAAACCAGAGCTTTTTCTTTTTTTTGCGATGTTATTTACCTGCACTGAATATGGGCACTTTTTCTCAGAGGTCTGCCAAGTCCCGATCCTTGTGTGTTGGCCTGCCCCACTCGGCCAGAGAAAGAGAGAGCGGACCCTGAGGAACAGCCTAGTAGGGATCTGCAGAGGGTGCAGGGGATTGGTGGAAACCAGGGCAACCTTATGTATGTACTTGCAGGGCCCCCCCCCCCCCCAATCTCTGATATAAACCATTTTTCGCTTTAGACACAGGAATACATTTGTAAGCACATTCCTTTAACTTAGTAGTAATGTCATTTTGGGAGGGGTATGGCTTGTGGTATGAATCTCCTGCAACAGAACATGCCTTGCATAATTTTTCAGGAAGTAACAGGCCACCGTCTCTCGTTTTCTGCTCCTTTGAGGGATTTCCTGGTTTGCCACTGCAATAGTGGGGAAGCTGATATCTGTGTCTCAGGCCGGAATTGCATCATTATTTCCAGCTGGCTCTTAATTCTCCCTCCCCCCCCAGTAATTTTTGTTTTCTGGGTTGTTTTTCTCCCCAGATTATTGTACTGATTTTGTGATTTTTTTGGTTGTTTGAGAGCCCATGCTACTGTACCCTGTTTATCCCCTTATTGCCTCTCACCTGTTATGTTTTGCCCTTTTCAGGATTCCATGGGTTGAAAAGGGAAAGGCAATGGGTTGCATTCTTAATGCTTCCCTTCCACGAAGTCTTTCTCCAGTGAAGGAAAGTCTTTTTATGATGGAGAAAGGGTTGGCAGGAGGGCATTGTAGGATCCACCTTAATGCAAATGAGTCTCATCATGAAGGCTACAACGTCTTAACTGTTGCTTTGGTGAGGTGGCATTTCTCAAATCAAGAAAGACAGACCCAGCTTCAAATCCTGATTCAGGCTTGGAGTTTCTTGATGGATCTGGACACATTCTAATCTCTTAGCCAAAGTTCTGCGTCTGAGAAATGGGAACTTCTAAGAAACATGTCTTAGGAGGCTGGAGAAGATGAGGATTGTACTGCAAAAAACATACCTGAAAATGCTGACATAAATACATCACTTATGTGGATAATATCACTCAGCCTGCTGACTGCTCTGTTAAACTGATGCTCTTTTCCTTCCTCCGCAGGGGTTGTCTTTCTTGGCATTTGTGCTTGAAGAAGTCATAGAGGTTTGCACCAGCTGTGGCGGGCTTTACTTCTTTGAGTTTGTCAGTTGCTGCGCCTTCCTCTTGTGTATTTCAGTCCTTGCCATATACTGCACGTCGCTCTATGAGAGAGTAGGGAAGGACCAAGTCAAGCAATTGGTAAGGAGACGTTGTTCATACATTTGGTACAGCTACAGTTTTGATGGCAGGTCCTGTTCTGTTCTTGTCCGTGTTCACCCAGGATCACTCATCATGGGAACTGCAGGGTGACTAATACAAAAGATGTTTTTGCTCAGGTATGAAAGAATTTTCGTTTGGGGCCATAGAACCTGCCAGATAAGGAGTAGTGTTTTATTTTTCGAGGGTTCTTTTTCAAGGGCAGGGAGCGTTTGCCTATATTAGCTGCGTCTGCAGTAGTTGGATATCCCAGTTCCTAATCATTATCAGTATATTTAAAGAGTTATGGTGCGTGGACCAGTGATACTCACCAGGCAACATGGAGGTGATGCTTCAGCTTCATGGCCTAGTATGCCTCTGTGAGAGGGGTTCCCAATCTTGTTGGGCTTGGGTGTTCTTAGCGGATGGGTAGTGGGTACCCCACAAAATGGCTGCTGTGGGCTGCTGGAGTCAATCACACAACGTTGAGAGATTACAAACCAGACAGTGAAGTCAGCTGTTTCTGACTGGATGTTCTCTGAGGATGCCTCCTGGGTTCTTCTGAAGCACCTTCTACTCCTGTGAGGTAAAGGAAAGCCAAAACTGGTTTGTTTTTTTTGCTTTTGAAAAGAAATAATTTTGTCAAAGCAGCAAATGGGCACTGGAAAACCCACTGCTATACCCATAGCCCCCATGCTGGGGACCACAACTCAGTCTAAAGTATGCCATGTGGATATCTGTCAAGGGACATGGGGTGGTTAGTAAAATAGGTGGGGAGAGCGTACTGATCTGAGAAGAAAGGGAGGAATCACAGCCCTTTATGGCCTTCTGTTTGTATGGGCTTACAAGTCTGCTTCTGTTTTCCATATTGTGTTGCAGTTAAAACAACTGCGTCTAACATTAGTATATTTTCTGGGTCCGTGGTACAACGTTTCCATGTTGAAACTCCTCAGTGACATCTTTGAGGATACCACTGGCATTGACTATAAACAAAGGCTTGCTAATTATGTCAGGTTGCTTTTGATATCTGTAAAAACTTTTGGTGTGGACAAAGGATATTTTGTTGAGCACCTATCCCAACACTATAAATTGCTAAGTTTTAGATGGCCAATTAAGACTTTACGATTTTTGGACTTGTTCTATAATGTTGTTAACCTCACTTTGTGACTGCCAGTGAATAGAACAGACTGGGGGGGGGGGGATAAAGCTTTTAAATGAAAAGGAAATGAGGCGTTACTTTGAAAGCCACTGAGGTGAAGCAGTTACAGTGACAGAATATGATCTGAGAAAACTAAATTTCAGACTGCTGAAGCCATTGTTTTCAGTTTCACTTTCTCCATTTGTAAAATGAGTTCACCAACAAGGGAAAAAGAAGGTTGTACATCAGAATTAACAAGACCAATATTTGGATCATGTGCTAGGAATGAAGATTTAAAAATGACATTTCTAATGCTAGCTGTAATTTTTTTATTATTTGAAGGATTTCTGGATCGTTGCAGTAATTGGGCCCTTCTTCTTATTAGCTTCAATTGTGTTTTCTTCAACCAGTGACAGGACATCAGTTGAAGTCGCTGCCATTGTAAGTACATGGCCTCATTGTATATACTTGAGAGTTCCAAAAACGTCAGTGCAATGACGTCTCATCATTAGAGCTGGCAGTCTCCTGATCTCCTCAAGCAAGGCCATTCCACCATGATTGAAAAAGCTCAGACTTTGGCAGAGAAGGATGTCTGACTTCTAGGAGCTGGTAGAACAAGGAGAAGCCAGTGGCCAGTGAAGAGTGTGCAGCTGGTACCAGGTTCACTTAAGGGATATGGCCCTTTGGATCAATGGGTCCCGGCCATGTTGCACCTCCCACCCCACCCCCTTTACTTAAAACAATTTCACATTCTTCAGAAGACTGTGCAGTCTTTCAGATAGGTTGCCTGGCTGGCTTTGATACTACTTCCACATGAAAACAACCTGCCCTCCCAAAATACACAGAATAGCCAGAGGCTTTGTATATGTACTGCAGATAGGATGCAGCCCCACATAGCTCTCTTGACAGCTGCTGCACAGGTGTAACCAAAGGAAAGGAAATGTTCAGGGGTTTTAAGAGAAGTGTGCATATGAGTTGAGAAATACAGTTGCTCGATGAGCTGGTGGCACATAGGATTCTCGTTGCAGTTGGAGGAGCTGACAACAGGAAAGCAGAATGCATCATTGCAGCAAGTGTTTGTGGGTTCAAGTCCTGGCAATCTGTGTGAAGAAGAGGTTCTGATTAAAGAACCAGTGTTTTCCAGCACAAGGTGGCATTCTGACAACATGGCAATGTCATGCTGCACATTTTTGGCAGGTGGCGCTGCATGGGGGAATGTGGTACAAAGCCAGAGATACCACCTGGGGTGGCTTTGGCTACAGGCTTTGTTGGACCCTCCTTCTCCCCTTCCTTATATTACAGTGCTTAATGGAAGCAGCCCCAAAGCCTTTAACTGCTCATAAGCACTTGATTAATGGGATTGATTAATGGGAAGATCAACCTTGACCATCAGTCTTGTGTGTGCTTTTTAATGCCTGGATTCCTCCCCTCTTTTGTTTAACAGGTGTTTGGATTCTTTGCCAGCATAACGTTTATTGTGGATGCTGTCATGATGTACTGTAAGGGTCCTCATGCTAGAAAAGAGACACAGCAAGAAAACACAGACAGGCCACTGAATCCAGCAGAGAATCAGCCGCTGAATAACCAGCCAGTCTAAGCTCCAACATGCCATTTTATTGTCCTGGATCCTAAGTGAAGATGAAATAGTTCTGCCCTTTTAAGCTGTGTCCAGGTCGTTAAGATTTCATTTCAGTTTTGTATCTCACCATCCCAGTCTTCATGGAGTTTTCATATGCTTCCTAAGTGGAAGGCTTGTAAGGAACACTGAATGTTCATAATTGCACCCGTTCAACTTTGTCCTTGTACACCGTTCATAAATGTGATGCGGTATGGTTGGGTGGGGTGCAGTTTTTGAGATGGGGTTATGAAGGAGCCAGGCTTTGCTTTTGCTAAAAATGTAGATAATAGTTACATGGGTAGGAAAAAAGTAAATGGGTGCAATGCCAGAATAAAATGTATTTAACAACAAAAAAAGATTCCATGGGATAGTGACTGAAAGGGGTTCATTATGGGGCAGTGTCTCTAGGCAAATGGTGGGAAAGTTTAAAACTCTTTTTTGCATACTTTCATACAGGGAAAACTAGGAAGGGGGATGGCAAAACCAGGGATGGATTCTATGTACTACAATACTAACAGTAGTAGCAACTCCACTCCAAATCTAGGCTGTCTTTCCCACATACTATCAGCCATTTCCCCTTATCACAAACATTAACAAACCAGATTTTTATTGACATTAATTTTGAGCAATAAGGATTTTATAATATTTGTCTGGATAGAACCGGCTTATGAAATCAGTGGTTTTTGACATCTTGTTGCCCTTTTGTAAAATAACAAATTGTGTATAGACTACCATTGCATGCGTGCTTTTTTGTTTAAAAAAATTAGATTCAAGCCTTTTCTGTTTTTCTGTTTTAAAAATATCTGTAAAAAGTAGAAATCTGTATTTGACATGTTCAGCATTCTGGAAAAGCGATCAAGTTTCAGGACACAAAATAAGGGGACTGCAGAGAAAAGATTGCAAAACCATAATTTTCAGTCAAAAGTTTCAAAAGATGGTACAAAGCACAGAGGGGAGATGTTACGAACATAAAAGACCTGTTGATATTAAGAGTACATAAAAAGGTGATCCTAATTTTTCTCAGATTTTAATTACTAAATATGTTTGGAATTAATGTAATATCATTTCGCTTGTGTAGATGTGTGCAATTTCCTAAGCTGGTGGCTGAGATGTTAAGGGTTGCAGACCATGAGTTTGTGCTAAAAATTTAGAACTGGATTTTTTACTGTGTCTGAATAATAAACTATCCAATGGTAACATACACTTCTGAGCCCAGCAGTGGACAGGAAAGGAAGGGGTGAAGCTGAGGAGCAGAAGCAGCATGACCAAACTTGTGCATGGAGGCCCCGGGGCCAGAAAGCCAAACTCCATATTGAGAGTTGCTAAAAAGGACCACTATGGATCAATGCTCCCTCTAAGCTGTGGAGTCCTGTGAGCAAAAATTCTACTTTGTGAGCTACTGGCATTAAAGTTGTGAGCAAGCGATTTGGCTGCTGCATCAATTAGTTTGCTCTGGAGCCCTCCTTCCTGAGCTAAGGCAAAAGTGTGTGAGCCGGGGGCTAAAAAACTGTGCGCCAGCTCACACTGACTCAGCTTAGAGGGAACACTGTCGTGGATATCCCAGGGTATATTTTGTGGGTGGGGAGAAAATGTACAAATGGCAGCCAGGTAGGCAAAGCAGCTCTCCTCAGTCTTGTGTGATTCCTCCCTCCTGCAA